CCTGTGGATTCAAAAGGGGGGTGCTACGTACGTCCCTGACGACACCGCCGTGCCCACCGTCCTCCCCAAGCGATCAGTGATCGACACGGACATCCTGCCGCCTGCTAACAAAGGCCCCATCGTCCGCACATCCTCCAGCGACGACCTCAAAAACAAGCTGTGGGTCGCGGCTCCCGTGGCGGCCACCGATGCCACGGCTCCTGCTGGTAAACCGGCGGTTCGAGGGATGGGGTCGGCATCGACTCCCGTCCGGCAGCAGCCCCCAACCGCACCCGTTCCTCGGGGGTTCGGCTCGGCTGCTGTCCCCACGATCGTCGCGCCCCCGACTCCTGTGGCCGTGGTCGAACACGCGGCAGAGGTCGTGGTAGCTCCAAAGAGCCCCATTGTAGCCCCTCGAGGGATTGAACAAGTTGCTGAGGTCGAAGTGGCCAGGGCGGTGGTATCGGCGGATAAAGTCCCGGTGGCTAGCACCAGTGGCCTGCCACCGGCTAGCAGCGACACGGAGAAGCCTACGCCCGCCCCCAAGGGATGTTGTACCATTATGTAGTAGATGTATCATGCATTGCTCCTTGCTCTATCTGTTATTGACACATTCAATTCTGGACCGGCAAATGACAATCATGACGAGGTGTACATGGAACAGGACATAGATCACGTTAAACGGGGATGCATGCTGTGTGTAGTTCATGTGATTCGAATCACTGGCGTGGACGGCACTTGCAGCTGACTCGACTGAGCATGCAGTCCTCAGTGCTCCATCGGCACGGTTCCCAAATCTCAACCCCACTTTGGGTTTTATGCGGATATCCGGATACGAGCCACTCATTCACAGCGAACAGTTTTTGAAATCAAGATGCTTGGCCGACTCGCCGCGACGCGCGCGCTCAAAGGTCTGCACCGCCAGCTGCGCCCTGAGTGCGGAGCTGCCTCCATGTCCACTCGAGTGCATCAATACGACAAGGAGCGTACCAAGTACAAGCAACCTCCCTTCGAGGACGTTCTGTTCGGCCAAGATGTGAACGCCCGCATCGTCACGTTGAACCGACCCAAGGTCCTGAACGCGCTCAACTTGCCCATGGTGCGCCATTTGACGCCGATGATTCAGCAGTACGAGAAGAACCCGTCCGTGAACACGATCGTGTTTGAAGGCGCGGGCGACAAGGCATTTTGCGCGGGCGGCGACATCCGGTTCCTCTATGACAACGGCAAGGACCCCGAGACGCGCCACCTGGCGCTCGACTTTTTCCGCGAAGAGTACCGTCTCAACTACATTTTGGCGACGATGAAGACCCCCGTGATCTCAATCCTCAACGGAATCACCATGGGCGGCGGCGTCGGCCTGTCCCTGCACGGCAAGTTTGTCGTCGCGACCGAGAAGACATCGTTGGCGATGCCGGAAACCGCGATCGGGTTCTTCCCGGACGTCGGCGCATCTTACATTCTGCCGCGATTGGGCCGAAAGCTTGCCCAAAAAGACAAGTACGAACCGATTGTGTCGGCGTCGCAGGCGTTGGCCGGGCAGGGGGTACGTACGGCTCATATATAGTCGACCACCAAACCGCGTGGGTCCCATGAACATGATGATGTAGCTGGGCACGTTCTTGGCCTTGACCGGGGAACGCATCAAGGGCGCGGAACTGCTGGCGTTGGCGCTGGCCACCCATTACATTGACGCCAAGGACGTGGACGTGCTCAAGGACCAACTGCGCGAATTCAAATTCCCCGACGACATGCCGGAAGACACCCGCGATGACATGATCGACGAAACCATCGTGTGCATCGAAACCACCACCGACGAAGTCGACGACGGTACAATACATTCCCTCGTTTGAACGACATGTACCAAATCTATCGATATATCGATTATTCATTGTCGTGATTGGTATCACACTAATTCAAGTCAATGTACACTAATTCGATGTTAATGATGGTTTCCTGGGCAATCTGATTGGCTCAATTCTTCTGCTCATTTGGTTATGTTTCATGTCGCTCCAGTTTAGAATAAACACAATACTGTATGTAAAGATCGTCCACGGTCACACTAATTGAAGTCACATACTAATTCGATGTTGCTTTCGTCCAAATGTGGTTTTGATTGGCTACTTGATTCGTGTTGTGGGCTTTGATTGGTCGTATATCGATTCCCCACTCGAATTTCGAACCGACTTGACAATATGATCTTGCCCATGGCAAAAGCTGACTCCAACCTGATGCGATTGACGTGGTCACCTACTTCTACCCTCGTTTGAATTACTAACATGCGTATGTGATCTATTTGTTGTTTGGTAGAGTTTTTGGATACTGTGGAGGCGATCTTTGGCGCCAAGAACGCCGACGACTCGGTTCAAGGCATCTTCGACCGGCTCACGGCGCACAACAGTGAATGGGCGACCAAGTTGCTGACCAAGTTGCAGTCCGTGTCGCCGTTGAGCTTGAATGTGACACTGCGTCAAATGCGCTACGGTGCCAACAAGACTGTCGACGAGTGCTTCCAGATGGAGTACCGCCTCGCCAACCGATTCCTCGACTCATCCGACTTTTACGAAGGCGTTCGAGCCGTGATTGTCGACAAGGTACGGTTGTTCTATCGCTAGATGGATGGATGGAATGAGTAGACAGACATATGAGGCTGATGTGTTTGACTGCGTAGGACAACAAGCCCGCGTGGCAGCATGCGCATGTGAACGATGTGACGGCGGACGAAGTGGACGCGTTCTTTGCGCCGTTGCCCGAGGACGAAGAGCTCGTGCTGTTCAAAGCTCCCACCACGCCCACATATGCCTAAGCGCGAACGAGACTAACTAGACGCTTCAGACTTGGCCACGATTATTGTGTTTGTTTGCTGGTGGAATACAGTAATCAGTCGCTGGACAATTGCTGGACCTGTGAAATCTCATATACTCGAACGAAGTTTCAGAGGTCTCATCGCATTACAAAATGTAATCTTTTTAGCCAATCGTACGGCAACTTTCATGATTTTTAGCCAATCACCATACTTCTTACCTTGATAATACAATTTTAATAGTATTAGTAGTAAAATTACTAGTAGTACACCCAATATTTGGCACATTATTACAAATGTAATAATATTAATAAGTTACTTATTATTAATACATGGATTCAAACACCATTTACACTTGGACGGGTTGTGGTATTCAATGGAAAAGTATGGCACAACACTGTATCACAGAGGACTCGAGCCCTGTACTTTGTGGGACGACTGCGATGTGGTGAACTCTGCGACATGGTGAGTGAAGGAGGAGAAGTGGCGAGGTTACTGGTCTTGCTGCTGCAGCGCGACCAGCACGGCCTTGAGCTTCTCAAGCACTTGGTCGCAATCGGGTTCAAGCACGTGGATGCCGTCGGTGGACGCGATGACGAGCTCGTCGACGCCGTCGCCGTTCATGTCTTGGCACAGGATCGAGTACACGGGTCCGAAGAAGAAGAAGTCCCACGCAGGCTTGGGGAGGACGCTCCATGTTCCACTTGGAGTGTCGGGGGATGCGTACGCGATCAACGCATTGCTAAACGTGCCTAGTAAGAGCTCAGGCCGGCCATCCTAAACCACACACATAAGGTACTACCGTGAGATTCCTCTACTGAGTACTATCACAAGTACTGTATACCATGTCAATGTCGGCAGAGACGCAGCAGAGGAGGCTGTCGTAGTGGTCGGACTCTGGCAATATGATGGGTCGACATGCCACGTCAAACGGGTGATGGTACACGACGGCGTACCCGATGCTGCTGTTCACAACCACGTCGCATGTATATGGAGATCTACTTCATCGACACGATGTGAGCTAGATAGACACTAGTGTACGAAGAATGCTTCAACGGAAGTACTGTCGTACAGCGCGGCGGACCTGTCGATGGTGTCGGCAACGTTGAACAGGTGCAGCGACGAAATAGGTCCGTCCAATTCGAATTGCTTGGTGCACGCGACCGCCTCGAACCCGTCGACTGCGGCAGGGCCAGCCATCACCCGCAGCACTCTACCCGATCGTCAGGGCCACTGCTGAAAACCGTGTCGCATATACTGTACATATATATATATCCGACGATAGTTGGCGCAACATACCCATTGGCACAGCCTAGCGCGAGGAAACGAATGGTGGTGGGTGTCTCGTTCGTGTCGGATGCTGGGCTGGTGGCGGTCGTCGTGTGATACGCTGTCACACCATGGCAGTCTACGAGATGCGGAAAGAACGATGCGAATGCGTCCGTCGAGAGCTGCTCTGCCTACAAGCAGCATGAGGGGCAAATGGATGGCGACGGAGGAGGATGTACGTACCTGCACATGGTTGCTGTCGTTGGTGTCTTGAATGTAGCCGCATGCGACGACGGAATCTGTGCGAAAGAGCAGCACGCCGTGGAAATGACGGCCTTGGCCATTGCGAACCGTGACCGTGACAGATTTGAGGGGGACGGAGGTTTGCTCGAAGCGCTGTCGCAGAATCTGGGTCGAACTTTGGTCTGGCGGCGTGGCCGTCGAAAACGGTTGTAACGTCAACCAACATCGGCCGCCGCGAGGTTCCTGGTACAGAAGCACCAATGCCGATCGCGACGACCACAGATGGAGAACATCACATGCGAGCAATGACGAGTCGGCCGGCATGGTCGCGTTGGACATGGCGTAGTCCAGCGCCGTCGGCGTCGATTCCTTGGTTAGACCGAGCGGGGAGAAATGGAACTGGTCGTCGTCGTTACGGTATTGGAGTTCACATACCGTCCACGGCGTGGTCACGAGGATCCTAGACATTCAAAATGAGCGCGCAGCTTGGACGGTGGTGGACCAACCTGTCGTGAGCGATCGACGTCATGCTGAATGCCGCCACGTCCTTGTCGCGGTTGATGACTGCCGCCACTGTGTTGGTGTGTTCTTCGTCCGTCATGTCATCCATGTCATAGTACGAAGGCTGCCGCGAATACTCCCGCTCCACACCCACCGCCGCATCATGGAGCGGCGCGGGGTATCGAAACAACCACGTTTGGCCATATCCCATTATGTGCACGAGTACAAATACTATGGAGAGCCGCCACATTGAGCATTTTTATTAAATTACGTTGTTCGATATCAGTTAAATTGTATGCAATTTTATAAACATGTTTGATTGTTTTGAATGGTTTGATTGGGCTTATTCGCCAACTTCAATTATGGTAGACGACGACGACGCATGGACATTTGTCGGTCGAAAGGGAAAATCGACCAGGAAACCTGCCATCAAGCAGCAACCTCCGTCCACAGAAGCCGCATCATTCGCATACAAGCAGAAAGCGGGGCTCCCGTCGAGCGTTCCAGACAAGCATGCGTCCGCTACCCTCCTTGCCAAGGTGAGGCGGCATGTCAAGTCGATGCGGCGCAGTCCGTTCCTCGCCACCCTCATCGAAGCCCTGGAAACGCAGCTACCAACAACATTCGAGACGCCGTCGAAGATGCAGCTCGTGTGCTACGGCTTGGGCAGTTTCTCAAGCAGCAACGCCGCGTATCAGCTAGCATGTGCGGTGCTCGTGCGCGAATGGATGGAGAACCATGCCGCCATCGACCTGCAACATGCATGCCTGTTTGACCCCATCATGACGCAGGTACATGGAGGAATGGCTCTCTTGCCCTTCTTGAACTTCTGTGTAGGACGACAAGGAGGTCGCGTCGGCCGTGGACTTTGTCGTGCTGGCGACCAACGAACAAGGCCACCGGCGGTCAGCGGACTCGCTGCAGACGCTGTTCTTCATGCCACACTGCGGCAAACAGCTCTACCAGAACGTCCTTCTCTCCAACTGGACAACTCTGCAGCGCGTGTTCATCTTGGGCAACAGCTTCTCCGCGTACGACGACCGCGTGGTGGCGGCGGCCGACAGACGGACCTCCATCTTTAGTGCGCTCGTGCCCTACACCGCCGAAGTGGCCGTCGGTAAAATCACCAAGTCTTGGAGCGAATACGTGCAGTACGACGCAGCCTTTAACGACTTGAGGTACTACCGACTTCTATTAACAACTTCCGTCTAGACTCTGTGATGATGCCTGTAGTTTGCATGCGTTTCCCGCAACCAAACTGCAGGACGCCGTCCGCGACGGGGTGTTTGCAAGAGATGCCGACGCGTTCGATGTCGGGACTGACGAAGATCTAATGTAAACACATGTTCACACCACCCAAACGAGTGTGTCGTTCGTTGATTGTGTTCTATTATTAGTAGTAGAAGTACCTACTACTACTACTAGTACTAGTACCTACTAGTTATACCACCGCCTTGGCACGAGGAGGTGTCAATGTACGCAGCGCGTCGACCCACGTGTCTCGCGTTGCTTCCGATTCTGCTTCCAAATCCAGCCGCCGGTCTTTGGCCACAATCGAAAAGCACCGCTCAATGTATTTGTCTATACAAAAAATAGGACCATCATATTATGCACGACGTGACGAACGAACGACCGAACGACCGACTGGACGACAACATCAACATCGTTTCGAGTCGTTCGTGTTTGGTGAGGGATTGGGTTCTTGTTACCTTCGGTGAGATACTTCATAAACGCATACCGCGTCGTGTCGGCATGGCCCGACAGCAAACTCTGCACGGACGCCAGCGCCAATCCTTCGTTGCGTTGGTCTGGTTTGTTGAGTGGACGCCAGTGCAAGTGGGTGTTGTCGTCGCTGAGCCACACAAACCGACGGTGGGGCGCGCTCCACGTGCCATACTTGCGAAAGACTGCGCCTTGTCGCAGTACCGCCCTTCCCCTGTCGTCGTTGCCGCTACTTCTAGGCAGTTCCTCAACCACCCGCGAGTCATCTGCCGTCGTCGCCCTGGCATCGGAGGTTAAAACGGCGGGTTGCTGCTTGGCCGCACGCCCGTCGGGCTTCTTATCCGATGATGACATGTTGGTCACTGGCTGGACAGCCGCAAACGACGTCGAGCTCGATCGATGATGGTGCTGGGGGGAGTGAGGGGGTGACGATGAGAAGTGCACGATCTGGTGCAGACTGGCACGACCCCTTGTAAGCGGGGGCGGCGCCGTGGGCAGGTGGCCTGTGACGTAGTCCGGGGACCCCTCGACGCGCCACATGTCGAGGAACTTGTTGTTGAATGCAACCGATCCGGCGTAAAAGCGCGACGCGTAGATCGCAACGGGTCCGTGGTTGTGCATGATTTCCAGGGCCCGACACCCCCGCAGGCTCCGCGTCATGTGGTGGTACACGGCTTTCACGCACTGCAGAGGTTCGAGGTGGCTTCGGTGCCTTGTGAGGGCCACGAGTCCGGCACGGCCCAGCATATCTAGGAATGCTGGAAAGCTCATAGTTTGCCGCCGGAACAGCGCTTCTTTTGTCATGCCATCGTTGTCGTCGGCTTCTTCTTCGTCGCCGACGGAACGATGGATACGCTTACTGCTGCTGCTGCTATTGCATGCGGCGAGGAACAGTTCCGGGCATTCTTGGGTCGTGAGCAAGAGCTCAGTGAACCGAAAATCTTGCATGAAACGCATGCAGTCGCTAAATGTCATCCAGTGGCCGCCGTCCTTGGTGGCGTCCGTCACGGGCTGGTTGGTGTAAAACATAAACATCTCGACGAGCGCGGGCGTGAACTTGGACACGAACCGCGTGACGTCGGGCTGTTGCAAGGCGTCGCTGTGGTCGTGCCACGTATGTTGTGACCACGTTGTGGCGTTGGGGAGGACAAACTTGACCAAGAGGTCCGTGAACGCGTCATCGGGGCTACTCGTGTGCGGCAGGACGCGCGACGCAATAGTCAACAGCGCGTTTAAGAACCCGTCGTAGTCGAGCTTGCCGGATCCAGAGCGAGGGGGAATGGATGATTTGGACGATGACGGAGTTGTAGTGTACCCGTTCGTTGCTTTGGTGGACCGCAAGGGCGACGCGACGGTCGAGTGGGGCTGTGTGGGAGACGATTGTTTGGTCAGTTTGCCTTTGCCTTCAAAGGCGTAGATGATGTCGCCCATCGCAGGCGTGAACTGTTTCGTGTGAAAGAGCCCACAGTCCTTTAAGAACCGGTTGAACTGGTATGCGGTCATGGTGAGCAAGTCCAGCGCGTCGCCGTGCACGCAGTAATACGTAAAGATGTACCACAACCGGTGCTCGTAATTTGAATGCACAAACGAGTGTTGTGGCTGCGGACGTGCCCTACGAGGGGAAGCGCTTGGGGTCGTTGGAGGGGATTGGTTGAGTTGTGATGGTTTGCAGGTCAAGACCAGCTTTTTCAGTCGCAGGTCGTCAGCGTCCAAGAGCGACAGCATGTTGGCTTCGTCTGGCCACACACATCCGTCGCTGTCCACCAGTTGCGACTCGGCGACGCTCCAGTACCGGGCAGCGTCCTTGCGGAGCTGCCCAAACTTGTAGTCGGTAGGTACCCACGTCTCAAAGGTATCGCCACTGGCGTTGTACACTGTAAATTTGTCTACAACAGCCACGTCAGTCTGGTGCCACAAGTAGTAAAAACTTACTGGTCTTGGTCACTTTTTTCGGTACGGCTCGAATTCTCAGGCACGGGTAGTGGTCGGCAATCTGATGCGTGGCCTCTTGGCGACGACTCAACGGCTCACCTCCGTCTAGGACAAACTGAAAGTCCAACGGGATGTCGTCGACAGTCTGCAGGATCAGCGGCCGAACGCTTTCGAGGCTACGGTGCTTCATGTCAGGCACTTCAATGAACCCGATGATGCCCTTGTTCTCCAACGAGATGCGCACGATATCTGCGTGGACAAGTCGAATCGATGCGTTGAGGCCATTGATGACGCATGCTGACTGGATCCTACCTTTGGCATGCCAGCTGTGGGACCGCGCCAATTGCTCCGGCGCCAGCATCGCCGTCGAAACTGCTCCTCCAACTACTGTATTTTTACGACAATACTGATTGGCAGTTTCACGTGGAATTATCCGTCAAAATAGTCATAATAACAATTTCCCACCAATTCTTCTCTTCAAGTATTTAGTGAGTGTAGAAATCAACCGAAGTCGGACACGAGAAGATGGCGACGACAGGCAACACGGAGGGCGTGGTCCATGATGCATCCAAGCAGCGCTTTGCGATCTACTCTACCGCCGACAACCAAGAAATCGGCTACTTGGAGTACGAGCAGCGCCAACCGACGTCGTAAGCAGAACACACTTCGTTCTCGAGATACAGTATGTACAAACCTCCTTACGTCAATGCGTTCTCAGGAACACGACAGTGCTGGACCTCCAGCACACGGTTGTCCATCCCGCAGGCAGGGGCCAGGGGTTGGCACAGAAACTATGCGACGCAGCGTTCGTATACGCGCGCGACCAAGGTACTTCCGGATCCTCCAATATCAAACACTTACACCTCGACACCTCCACCTCCAGGCTTCAAGGTCATTCCAACGTGTTCGTACATCAGCGACACGTACTTGAAACGATCGACGCTCCCTGACGCGGCACACCTCGTGTACACCGGACAACAAGGCGACAACTAACTACAGTACTACTAGTACTCGTCACTAGTAAGCCAGAGATTGCATTAACAAGTGTGTCTTAATCGGTCTTGACAAAGCCGTCGACGGTAGTAAAGTCGTTGTAGAATGCCTTGAACAGCGCGACGGACTTCTCGACGTCGGAGACGCCGCACATTTCACGGATGCTGTGCATGCTCAGCTGGGCCACGCCCACATCGATGGTGCGGATACCCGTGTGCGTCGACAAGATCGGGCTACATCCATCACACACGACATCAGAAATCTAACAATACAAAGCTACTACCATACAAATAATCATATAAATAATAATAAAAATAATATAATTTCACCATTTCACATACACAATCGACCGACCAATCAAAACCCACAACAGTTTCAAGTGGCCAATCAAACTCGTGCATACTAGCAAATCCGTATGACTTCAAATAGTGTGAATGGCAAACTTGACATACACTAATAATATAGTATAACTACAACACACACCGATATAGATGGATTTGGCGAAAATCAGCAGAAATATACACCTCTTTGAGCTGAACGGCACCATTCATAAAATATATAAGCTCCTCCACATCCATATATATATACATATACCCTTTCAAAACGACATGCCGTTCAAGTACTATATATATATATCACAACATATACATAGAAGTTGTATGTTTACCCGATGGTGGAGCCGCATCCGCAGTCTTGGCGCGACACGAACGACTGCACATCCAGGTTGTGTCGACGGCCAATCTCCTTGAGCAAGAAGGATGTTTCGCCGGTCGTGGCATACCGCTGGTTGGCGTTGTACTTGATGGCAGGGCCCTGGCCCATCTGGAGCTTGGAGTTTTGCTCATGGCGGGCGGCGTAGTTGGGGTGCACAGCATGTGCCATGTCGGCAGAGATGAGCATAGACTTGCGCACGCCTTCGCCGCTGAACTGACCCGCGCTCACGCGGTGCATGACGCTTTCGAGGAAGTTGGAGCCGGCGCCCATGAGCGAGTTGGACCCAACCTCTTCGTTGTCGAACATGGCGGCGACGCGCACGTTGGTCTCCGACTCAAGCGAAGACAGCGACTCGAGAAGCGCGTGCGTGGCCAACCACGTACACGCCAAGTTGTCGAGGCGCGCGGCAAACACAAACTCGTCCAGGATGCCGCCAATTGTACCAGCTACATACATTCAGTTTCAAACCATCGCACCAAGGTAGATGGGTAGAAACCCCCAGATTCGCAATATACACCGAGAAGGCGACAGACACTATACTGTCAGAGGATACATATATAACGAGAATACAAGCAATACGACGACTATCGACACTTGATTTATATATATATATATATATATATATAGGGTTGTGTTGATGCTAGCTATAATACACTGGAGCGACATGGAGCCACAAAAGGATTGAGCCAAAATGAGCAGCAGCACCAAATCGACAGACAATCGATATACGACCAATCAAAAGCCAGAACACTCATCCAGTGGCCAATCAAATGAACCACTCTTGGACCAAGTCAACACTGAATTAGTGTGTGTGACTGAAATTAGTGTGATTATACTCAATATCCATCATGTGTGTACCTTGGGTGTCAAACAGCGACAGCTCAAAGTCGCAGATTTGGTCCACGGACACGTTGAGTTCAGTCGCCAACAAGTCCAGCAACAACGGATGGTGCGATGCAGACTTGTCCACCGGGCGGGCGCCCGTGAGTTCGGCGGCGGCGGCCGTGGCCAAGATAGGTCGCAGGTGTTCTTCCGCGTTCACGCTGAACGCCTTGCGCGCGTCGGCGTCCTGCAAGTGGATCGCGAGCATGGGCACGCGCAGGATGGGGCGGTTCACGAGCACGAGGCGACTGGTCATGCTCGTGTCGCTCTCGCGGACAAACACGCGGCCGGCAACGCCCAAGTCGCGGTCGAACCAGGTCGTCCAGAGACCCCCGCCGTAGGTTTCGACGCCGAGTTGGATCGTGCCTTCCTTCTCGATCTTGGACACGGGCTTGATCTTCAAGCACGGGCTGTCGGTGTGCGCACCCACGATGTGGAATCCGTTGCCCTTCTTGTATTGGCCGCCCACGGCGAACGCGACCTAGGAAAGAGTGAGCGACGGCTTCGGGTGGTGGATCTACGAGGGACGTACGATGGCAGATTGGTTGCGCGTGACAAAGTACTTGCCGCCAGGGAGAACAGCGTTTTCCCAGTTGTCCTCTTCCTTGAGGTGCGTAAAGCCCGCGGACGTCAATGCCTTGGCGGTTTCGTACACGGCATGGAACGGCGACGGACTCTTGTCGATAAAGTTGATCAGCGCTACCAGGTAGTATTGTTCATTAGACCATGCATGTTCATGACGCTTGAACGACGCATCTACAGTACCTTGCGCGGTCTTCTTGGCGGTCGTGGTGGTGGCACTCATGTTGAATTCACGAATGGCAATGGAGGAACATCCCCAAAACATGGGAGCTGATTTGTTTCAAACAACTGTTCTGTATACATGTTTTAAACCAAAAGTCGAGAACTTTACATCACGTTTGAATGAAAAATACTGTTTCAAACGATCGTTTTAAACTATCGGACGTTTTAAACATGCGACTGTATTTTGTGTGACTGGCCAGGGGTAGGTTTACCAACATGGAAGGAAAATGAAGCAGTACATAGTGCTCTCTGCCGTCGACGGCAAGTAAGATTTCACATGCCAACGCTGTAGGCTTACTTACGTAGTACTAGTCTTGTGTGCTGCTTCCTATATATCCTATTATGGTGCAGTGCTATGTAGCTGATTTAGCTACATAATTTGCTTGATAAATATGGGTACTGTATCGGTACTATCCGTCCGATCAGGTTATGTTGAATTTCCGCAACGATTACGTGTACGTATATCTGACAAGTGATGCGCAGACGAAAGTGTACATTTGTGCTGAAGTGTACTTGTGTTCTCATGGAGTTCCTAGGAGCAAGTATAGGTCACATCGCACTACACAACGGTGGTCAAACTGGCTTGAGTCCCGTGGCATATTGCGCCAGTAAAATGGAGCGAGGGGGCTGTTCCGACCTCACACAATCGAATTGTAAAGGTATGTGTAATGAGCGCAGCGAAAACCCAAAATGTCTGCGAAGTCAGTTTTGTGCTGAGCATTTGATTGGTGCTTGGAACCTCCAAGACCAACCTTTTTGACCAATCATTGGACAACAAGAAACTTCACGGGAAAGTGGCCAATCACACATTCCGACGAAGCTAAAAATAGATTGCTAGAAACCCAATTTCGTGTTGGCATCAACCGTTCCTCCGTGGCGTGGTGATGGGATGCATGCAGTCCAAGGTAGGATCTGCACAGACGCCGCAGCCGAATGCGACGGTCGACCCGTCGAACCAGGGAAGCACGATGAAGAACGTCGATTCATGGATCACAAACAACAACGATTACGTGGCCAAGAGCTCCGTGGACAAGAAGATCATCAAGACCCTGCAGGCTCGCAAGAAAAAGATGGACGACGAAGGCACGTTCTCAAAAAACACCAACTTTGAACGCGTGGCCATGCAGTTTGGCAACGTCGAAATGGCGTTCATGTGTATCCGCGACATCTACACCAAACACATTGACGTACGTAGCAACAACAACAACAACACTGGTCCTGCCCCAGACGAATCACATACATACTCCCGTAGCCGACACGAAAAACCATGCAGATGGACAACTTTTGCCGCGCCTTGTCTGCGTTTGGAGTAACCATCGATCGACCCGCCATCCAAGACATTTTTAACGAATCTGACCTCATCCGGGACAACTCGCTCAACTTTAACGAGTTCGCCGTGTCACTGGCGATTTGCTACCTCTTGGATGTTGTGCCAGGGCTAAGCGCGGCCAACAGCAGCCCAGCGGACCCCCTAGCGGACGAGCCACTGGAGGACCCTGGCGTCGAGTTGGACGCGACCGACGCCAAGCGCGTGGCGAAAGCGTTCGACACTGTCGTGAACGCATATCTTATGTTTGACGAAGATGCCAGTGGCATCATCAAGTGGGACGAGATGAAAGAGGTGCGGTATTTCTCCATACACGTGTACTAACTACTTCACGGTGGTGGTGGTAACTAGATTCTCAACAAACCCGAAGACGGCAAAGCCAAAACCACCACGCACAAAACCAAGTTCTTCAACATCGAGCGGTGGAAAGAACTGGATTGGAACAAGGACGGGAGCATCAATTTCCAAGAGTTTTTCCTCGCGTTTCAAAAGTGGGTCGGCGTCGACGAGGACGAGCAATGAACAGCTAGAGTTATTTTTTAATTATATACTAACGTTACTGTGGAACGGACCTACGATTGTGTACCATACATAGTCTGGTCAATATGGCCCCCATGACGATAGTTGCTTATCAGTAAACCACTCTAACATGTAAAGTGCCAATTAATGACGTACTAAAACTAACTGTAAGCCAGTTTCAATGCTCCGACACATACATACTTTAAGATAAAAAAGAGTGTCCTGAATTGGTTATCAAAATATGCGTACTAACCTAACGTTATTGCTAAAGCATAGGTTAAAGTCAAACTTCGTTTTTACGGTTGCTATTTTGGCACTATCCGGACTTTTTAGAAATTTCGACTCGCAGAATTTCTATTTTCGCGTGAAATAGCAACAAACCCTCCGGATAGTGCAAGAATTTCTATTCTATATCCGTAACTTCGAATTGAAATAGAAATAAAAACACCGTTGGAGATGCTCTAAGGGTTGCGATTGTGTTTTCCGGATAATTTGGGTACAAACCAATCAAAAGCTCGGAATATTTCTAATGCTTAGAAAGTACTACGTAGTAAAAATTTACCTGTGAAACTCATCGTCTAACAGTAAGAGCATCTCCAACGGTGTTTTTATTTCTATTTCAATTCGAAGTTACGGATATAGAATAGAAATTCTTGCACTATCCGGAGGGTTTGTTGCTATTTCACGCGAAAATAGAAATTCTGCGAGTCGAAATTTCTAAAAAGTCCGGATAGTGCCAAAATAGCAACCGTAAAAACGAAGTTTGACTTTAACCTATGCTTTAGCAATAGGTTAGAATTTACCGTTGGAGATGCTCTAAACTGATAATTCGATTATGAAGTGAAAGCGGCGCGTCTTGTCTATTGGTCACTCCTAAAACTCAAATATCGTAACGGACTCAAAAGCTAATGTCCATTCTACTCCGACGCCTCCAAAAAAGTTATCTTAAATTGGCTCTTTACGTTATTGCAACAATTGGCATTCTACGTTAGGGGAAGTTCCAAGTAGTTTTCAGAAACACAGTGTAGCATGAGCCAATCAAAATCGATTTAGGAAAATACGTCAAGGACCTCTTTTCTACTTTTCGTATAGTGAGTTGCGTAAAAAATCGCATACAAAAGAGGTAAAAAAGTAGGAAACTGTATTGTGAATTCGCTAAACTTCGAAAATTCGCGTGGTTTGTCTAATCAAAATTGAATCACGATGGAGTTCTGATTGGTTGAATATACTATACTTGACGTCTACTTTTGGTATACTGGTAGTGAGTTGAGTAAAAAGTCACAGAAAAGGAGGTAAAAAGGTAGGAAAGGAAACTGTATTATGAATTCGCTATAAACTTCGAAAATTCACGTGGTTTGTCTAATCAATATGAAATCACGCTGGAGTTCTGATTGGTTGAATATACTATACTTGACTTTTGGTATAGTGAGTTGAGTAAAAATCGCAGAAAAGGAGGTAAAAAAGTGAGGAAATGTCCAGCCATCATACTTGCAAATAACCTTACAGGTAAACTTATTACTCTAAAAATATACTTCGAAGTAAGAAACTAATTCAATAGGAACTAATAAAGGAACTAAATTAATAGTAGCCCCACTAGGTACTGTATTGTGAATCGCTATAAACTTCGAAAATTCGCGTGGTTTTTCTAATCAATATTGAATCACACTGGAGTTCTGATTTGTTGAATATACAGTACTTGAGCAATCAAATCCACTTAATACAGGATTAGCCAATAGCGTCAATTCGATTCGACCTGGTTTGGAAATTTGTACTTCGAAGTATTATTATGTACTTTTTCATTTGCTAAAAATATCTACTTGGAACATGCCCTTACACCATCGACCGTAATATTAGTGCGGACCGCACTAATTTTGAATATTGAGAATTACTATGGTGCACGTCATCTAAAAACTTCCAACTGGCCAAATCGAGGAGTGGAGGTTTTATTATTTAACGTACAATTAATGTAGTTAAACCCAAAAACAAAATACGTTAAATACCGATTTCATGCGTTTTATCGCTGCAGTGGGAGGTTAAAGGTCCCAATTGCCTCCGGATATTATTTACGGATAAGAGTCACATACAAAAATCAAGATACATCTCAGCGGCCACCCCTATGGCCAAATATCCAAGCGCCCATGTAAAATACTGCTAGGTTAAATATCTATTTCTGGACCAATTCATCACCAAATTTGAATCTGAGACGTAGAATTTCTTCATTACATTGAGATCTGTCGATTCTACGTCTCAATTTGCTGAAATTTTGAGTAATGAATACCAGTATGAAATAGAAGTCAGACATTTTTGTGAAAAGTTGGTAGTTTATAGATGACGTGCACCATACGAGTACGAAGTATGGATTATTATCTTGATTTTTGTATGTCGAATTTGTCATGAAAAGTCACATATAGTCCGCACCACTACAGTAGTAGTACTATTAATAGTATGTGACATCCATTATTTTGCGAATACGTTTTGAGAAAACACGAAATTGTTGACACAGCACATACCATTACATCAGTCATGACGGTTTTCGCGACATTAACTCCGTCACTTTTGACTGTTACGAACTGAGACCAGTGCCAAACAATCATGACCGATGTAAGGTATGTTCTGTGTCAACAATTTCGTGTTTTCTCAAAACATATTCGCAAAATAATGGATGTCACATAGTATGTCCAATGAGATATTTGGCAGTCATCCATTGGATGACTGCCAAATATCTCGCAAAACAAATTTTCTTCCGGTTGAATCTGAGACATTTTTGAAATAGAACCACGCTCGCATTTTGTGAAGGCGAAAAAATCGTCTTCGCAAACATTGCATTTGCGAGCGAACCTCTCGCATCGACACTGTAAAATTTGATATGATCGAAATACATTTTCAAAGGCTTTGGCATCGTGCACAAATTTTCTCGCAATCTCACCGGGTAACGAAGGCAGGTCGAGCCAAGTCGTGGAGTGCCTCGATTGCCACCCATCGACGTCGGTTAAAAAAATACACGTTATCCGGACTCGCAAATTTGTTTGCGAGAGGCACTTGCGAGATATTTGGCAGTCACCCAATGTACCGTAGTGGCGCGGAATGTATCACAAATCAGCATTGATGTAGTGCAGACGCATCATACAATAACTAATAGGTATATACCGTATACAAGGGTTATTATACCACATTTGATCGCTTTCTACGACTATGTACCAAAGCAATTGGGCATCGAGGCATACACCCGAATATTGCACGAAATTGATCCACCCTAATTGTTGATACAACCACAAAATTTAGGAATTCCATCACATACTAGTATTCATAGTTTGTACTAATTCTGAATCCACACTAATTCTTAATCCGTACTAATTACGGTCAATGGTCTAATAACCAACAGCACAATTGATACGTATGTAACGTGAGTATGCTTGTTACTATTAATACTAGTATTACTACGCAAAAATACTATTATTAATAATAGTATTAATAGTACTACTACTACTAGGACGTAGTACAATGAATGCAGTTTCACATTGCCATGCCGACTAGCAGTAAGTAAAATTCGAGTTGATTTGTTATTATTATCACGTAGTAACTAACGTTGCTACGGCGCATCGTCTCTTGCTTGTTTTCGGTCGATCGCGGCTTCCATGCGCTGTAATTTTTCCGCGAGCAGGTTGATTTGTTGGCTGTGGTTGCCCACCGCGTGCACCATTTGTGCTTGCTGCTGCTGCAGTTGGGACTGCGTGCCCGTGGTTTTCTCGAGTAGCTGCAGGAGGGTTCCTTCCATCGACGCCGACACGACTCCATCTCCTGTCGGCGGCGGCGGGGGACTGGTATTCGTTTTCTTGGACTGGTCAATCAAGTCGTCCAAGTACTGCACGACGAGCTTGGCGACGGCGTCTAGATGCACTTGTACGTTGTGGCACTGCCGCCGCGGACTCGCGTCATACACCTCAATCGTGCCGAGGATAAGTCCACAACTCACGACCAGCGGGAAGCTCGCGTAGAACCCGACGTGCCATTCGTTGCGCATGTACGAGTTCTGGGCAAACCGGATGTCTTCGCCTGCGTCGCAGCAGACGAGGGGCTCGGCGCTCATGAGGGCGTGCGGGGCAAAGGCGAGATCGTGCGCCACGACCTTGGGGAAGTCGTCTCCAGGGAGGTCGAAGCCTGCCGTGCCCATGAGGATGTACCCGGCGTCAGCCATGAACCCAATCACGGCCTTCTCGCACCCCGTGTTGCTCACGAGCACGTCGCAGAGCTGATCAAACCACGGGTCTGGCTGGGTGCATACAAGCGTTTGGTCGAGCATCTGAACGCACAACGCTTCGTTGAGGCGGCGGGGGGGGCGGGGCCACGGGTGTTCCCAGTCAAAGTCGAGGGGAAAGTCTGTGGACACGCTAAACTGCGGCTGACACTTGTTGTCGCAGTCGTAGCAGACGCTGCACCACTGGTGCGCGGGTACTGCTAGGGATGGGTCTGAGTAGCTGGTCGTGGCCATGAGGCTGTGTCGGGGATGGGAAATCAATAGATTGGGCGCCGACACGGAATGGGGCGGCGGCGCCGGCCTATGCGGGGGATGCCGGGACGACGACGACGACGATGCAGACTCTTGTGACAGTTTCATGCGCAGCCGGCACTTGATGCACACCCGGACGTTGACCGCGCGGTTGACATGCCCCACGGTTGTGTGTACGCCACAGGTCGAACAGACGACGTACCCGCAGAGTCGGCAGTGGTGTTTTCGCTTGAGCGGGTTGAACGACTTTTCGCAGCAGTGGCAGTGTTTGGCCGCTTCGGCGTCCGCCCAGCGTCCTTCGTCTAGGATTTCCACCCCCCCCGACTCTTTCGACGCATCTGACCCGCTGTGGGAGCTCGGGGACCGGACGGACGACGTCTGCCGCCCCGACGAAGCGTTTCGAAACGTGGGCAGCGTATTGGACGACGACGACATGGCCGAGAGGAGAAACCCCGCTTCCTTGCGCGGCGAAGTAGTTGTAGTGTGAGCGTACGCAATCGCAATGGGAATCGGGAGGTAGATCCAGAACTTGCCCAGCTCGATCATCGAGTCGAATATCTGCACGCACGTGTTTGTGTTTTGGTCTTGCGTAAAGCAGAACAGTTCGTTGATTGAAAAGCCCTGCGCCCACACCAAGTGGTGGATCAAGTTCATGGATGCCAGCGTGTGGCAGATGGCTTCGGCGTCGGCAGTCGTGGCCGCGATCTTACGGGACATGAGGAATGACACGGCGTCGTAGCCCAAGAACGACTTGGCGTGCAACGGCACCTTGGACACGTCCTTACTCTTCTTGATCATGTGGTTTACTCTGGGAATGAGTCGCACGGCGGTGGGCAACCCGGTCATCATGTCCTGGACGACGCTTTCGTATTGTTGGAAGTGCGGAAACACATTGTTGCCGTGGGCGTTGAACAGGTCGAGGTTCTTGAGGATGGCTTTGGCCCACAGGTCGCGCTCGCGGCGGCCGCCCACGCTTCGAAAGTTCCACTCGATCGCTTGGAGCGCGCCTCCTGTGCATGTGATGTCGAAGCGCCGCGCGTAGTTTTCAATGTTGTCGTAGTTTTTGAGCTGCACGCCATGACCTAATTCAATCGCAGCGATGCGGTCCACCGAGTCTGCTTTCTTGTACAGCGCCAGCCATCGGCCCTACACACAATTACCCGACCATCATCATCACGTACAGTACGACGAGGACTGCACCTCCATCTTGGCGTGCACAGTGATCCAGTTCTGAAACATCTTTTCTGTCTTGACCTTGAACTCCAACACGCCTTGCTTGGCCTTGAGCTGCGGCGGTGGCGGCGGCAGAGTCGGCTCCGTGCTCATAACGCTGGTCGCAACACGGCTCAATAATGGATGGATCAATGAATGCACACTTGGAGCCCCCGTAGACACGTGTGATTGGCCGATGTGACCATCCTTGAAAACCAGCCAGGTCGTTGACGACATGTCCATACAAACTTCAAGTGTCGCGGGCAGACTTGCGTTACGTTCGCCTTGCTCTCCAGCTGGCTGGGTACTGTAAACTCATCGCCTGCGTCGGATGGTTGCATTATTTGTGGGTCCCTCCAAGGGGGTGTCAAAACTAATACCATACAAACTCGATATATATTGGTAGTACGAAATGAGGGTGGGGGCCTTGAATTCCGTGAGGTGCACCTTCCGTCCAACGCACCTATAATGTTGACAGCTGAAAGCGAGTATTGTAACAACTGAAAATACACCGGCTCGATACAAGAATCAAGATATATATATTTCTGGAAGTTGAGACATGGACATACAGTGTGGGGGTAATCAAGTTGTGGCTTATTTTACCGACTAATTCCCCGTCGTACACGTGCAATTGGCTGAATTTTGAGTACAGTACTAATACCATTTTCACGGTTCGAGTCAGATATACTGTACAGTAAATATGTATGTTACTGACGAGAAACGAGGTTACACTCATCCCAGATATAGCTTTATAGAGGTAGTTACGTGAAAGGGTTCTATGAAGTCTTGGAGGAGTATACCTCTTGTATACACTAGATAAGGAGAATGGTCACATTTGATGAACACAAACTAATCCTAAAAATCCGAAAACCCAACACGTTTTGTGGAATATGGTTGCCAAATTACTCAAAGCAAGTACACTCACAGAATTACTGTACAAACGTCCTCGCTTGCTATGTATATATATATAGTTCGTCGTCCACGACAATTGAACCCGACAAAGATTTGATTGGATGAAACAGAATTCACCGAACGACATTCTGATTGGCTAACTAAGGGGCCAGTGATGCCTCACATTGAAATGACGAACACAAGCAATCAATATTGCTTTACAACCTTCCGTCGCGCTTTCGCTTGCGGACTTCACTTAAGATATTGCTGTAAGAGCTAGTATGCCCCTCATATGCTACCTCAAACATATCATAACTAACATACTTTAAAAAGGCCAACGACAACGTCAAGCACTCGGAGTACTTTCGTCGGTCGGCCCGGATCATTTGCGTGCTGAATAACCGAAAGGGTTGAAACAACCCGACCCAAATGTCACCAGTAAACCATTGATTCCATGCATCCTTGGCTGATCGAGCAGTAAGGACCACTGCATGTGTAACAAACCTGTCGAGTGTCGTTTACTGTTGGGGTCTCGCAACTTGCACTGGTGTGTGGGTGCAAGCTCAGGGTGTGCGAATGGCGTCCGTTACGGTAGCAACCCCGATGGCATCCGTGACTGCAGCAACACCGATGGCAGGTGAGCTGGGCATACCGTTTTGAAAATGCTATACGATCTCGTTGCAGAGGTTTTCCACAGTCAAAGACCCCATGCTGTTGTCGTGGAGAGCCGTCGTGATGTCGACTCGTAACATATTTTTGGGATCCACTTCGTTGGTGATACTCCGGGTGATGAGATACTCACAGCATGTTTTGGCGTCTTCCCAACGGCACCATGCCATAAGCTCCTTAAAATTAAACGTCGTTCTGGAGACTCGAACACACGATAAAAGCTGCCTCCTCGTCGCATGCTGTGCAGTGTAATTCCTACATCCAAAAGCAAACTATTGTAAAGACGATTTATTGGATTGTGATTGGAATTCGTAGGAACCAATTTCGGCGGAATGTGTATTGTCCAATGAAAATGTTTTGTTCGTTTGATAGGTTCAATTCGTGAAACCAGACCACACGTGCCATTCCAATATCCACGCTGACATTGCAAGAGAACGGTGGCACAGCGTGTCTGACCCCGTCGGGCTCTGTACTATGCACACGCAATCTATGTCTATTGTACTCAGGTAATGTATCCATCTGTGCGTATGTGATATTTCTGACTCTCATGAATCTGTTTATGAGTATGTGTCTGCCGATGCTGGAAGACTCCGAGTGCGGTCCCATATGCCCACAAGGTACGATGCTGCCAGCTCCAGCGCACTGGCCGAAGGGCATGGAGGTGAGCCTTGCTTGGCCATGTAGAACTTAGACATTCGATCCATAATGAATTCCCATTCCTAATACTCTTTGCGTTTGGATGTCGGCGACAAATCACGAGTAGATAATTTTCGGAACGGTATGATCTTCGTGATCTTCGTGCAGGGTTGCCACGCCTCCATAAACTCCATGCAGTAGCCAAATCGACATTCGGAAATTTGAAACCTTCCGGAAGCATGTGCAACATGCCACCCCATAAAAACACAGAGCTGTTCGGATCGACGTCGTTAGTCGGTGTTGGGGATAGAGGAGCACCAGGTCGTACTTCTTGTACCACAGTTGCGACAGCTTGGGAGAGGGTGCTTTCTAAGAAAGCCTGCGTGATGTTACCAGCAGCAAGTCCCCTTTCGTCCACGATCTGGCGAACACCATTTAATACGACAGCAGGAATACTTTGGATCGATTTTTCATTTCGATCCAGTTGCCGTAGTAACTCCACGTGGGGGGGGATGCCTGAGGCAAACAAGAAATTGGACTCGGTCCCAGAAAATACCAAAGGTCGCAGGGTTAACACCACATCATTGCTAGCAAATAACGGCGTAGACAGCAGGGGGTGATTGGGCAGGAACTGGCCAATCAAAAAATCGTGGTGATGCACGAGACTGGCCAATAAGAGGCGCAGCACACCATGCTGTTGACTTTGGCCAATTAGACTTGGAAAAACCATTGCCAAGGCTTTGTTGACCAATGGACACGCCAAGTTGGAGAAATGGGGGGGCAGTAGAGACAAGTTAGCACTCTTTATTGGGAGCCCGCGAACTACTCGACCAGAAAATTGATCGCCAGCGGCTTCGTACCGAAAATAACGCTCCATAACATTGCCCAAGGACCACCCACACCGCAAACATACACTGACAATGGACGGGCCACCGGTGCTGCCCGACGACACAAACGTTGCCGAGCCTTTTCGAATCGAATGCGTACCAATATCGTTCGCTTTTTTGTCGCTCCCAGCTGCCAATCGCTGCAAGGAGGACAACAATCGCCCAAGGCTTTTGCCAAAGCGATCCTACCATATTTTTAATTTTTTATTCGTATATTGCATGCAAAATATGTACCTTTTGTTTTGCTCCAGGAAAAAGATTGTTTGGCAAGATTTGTGTGTTGCACGCCAAGTATATTCCCAATGCTAAAAACAAGCACACTTGCTGCCAACACGGATTGGGATCCAATCATTTGGTCCGACGAGAAAAAGTTCAACTTGGATGGTCCCGATGGCTTGCAGAAGTACTGGCACGACAAGAGGCTCCCCAAGCAGCACTATTTGACGCGCGCTATGGGCGGGAAGAGCGTCATGGTATGGGGGGCGTTTTCGCTGGCCGGCCGGAGCGAGTTGGCGTTTTTGTCGGGCAAGCAAAATGCATTGGCGTACCTCGACACGCTCCAAAACTACCTGTTTCCGTTTGCCCACGAGCACTATGGTCCCTCGTTTGTGTTCATGCAAGATGGCGCTTCGATCCACCGTGCAAAAATCGTCATGGACTTTTTGAGTGAAGAAAATGTCACCGTTTTCGACCATCCCGCCTATTCCCCCGATCTGAATCCGATCGAAAACTTGTGGGGGAGAATGGCCCAAGTGGTGTATGCCAACGGGAGACAATTTCGTGATGTTGGGTCACTCGTTGCCGCCATCCAGTCGACATGGGACGACATCCCACAGCCACTGCTGACATCGTTGGTGAAATCGATGCCAAAGCGCTGTGTTGACGTTCTGAAGGCAAAGGGTTGTAAGACTAAGTATTAGGAACACTTTATGGTATGCTTTTGCATGAGTAACTTTGCTAAATTCAGATTTTTGTAACCCTTTCGTATACACTTGGCGCGCTAAAAAACGTGCAAAATTTGATATCATAACGAAATATTCACCCAGATCACACACTGCATCGATATAGCTTGTTTATTGCGATTACAAGGCATGCAGCAGGGGTATCCTGACTTGAATCAAATTAAAACCATCGGCACTATTCTAAACCCACCCTTTCGTATTCACTTGGCGCGGACTGTAGGTAGAGTTAGAGATGCATAAATCCGCAATCGGGCAGACCCATGCTCGCCGCGCAGAGATGCTCAAACACCGAAAACTACATTGGACGCTTGCCAGTGAATTCCTTGACCCATTTTTAAGATTCTGGGCGACGGCCTTTCGAATTCCTAAACCTACATTACTGTTTGCGAAAAATATAAAATTCTGTACCCGATAAAATGACCTTCATGTCCCCATCGTATGGCTCAGGGAGAGCAACACCTTGATCGATGTACAAACTCTTGACTGCACTTCGGTAGCCTCTTAGGATGCCCAGGCCAATATCTCGCTCCCGAACAGTCCAGACAATGAACTCCAAAAAGTTCTCATTCGCAAACGCATGCAGATCTAAGGTCATGCGACCCTCATGCTCGGTGCTTGGCATCAGGAGCTCTGGCTTCCCTGTCATGACAGCCCAGTTGACTACCTTCTTAATGCCGGACAAGTATCCGAGACGCGTGCTGTCTGAGATGCGACTGCGTCGCGCTCCTTCGATGGTGAAATCGCTGTTGGTACTCATGTTGATGAATGGGAGCCTCCATCAACTGCGTCCTATTGGCCGCCTTTTTTCTGTTTTTCAGCTATTTGATTGGCCATCCACATCAAGTATTGTTCATCAAAGAGCCTGTAAAAGTGCGTCCGGTTGTTTTCCGCATAATTCGCCGAATTCGATAGTGAAACCAAGATAAAGAATTCTGGATGACCACATTTGATTTGACAAAATCGAAGTTGTAGGGAGATTATTCCTACTATTTGTTCATTTTCTTCATACGATTCCTACGTATTTCGACTTATGAGCCATATTTTACAAAAATACACTAATGCCAAAATACAGACAATACAGATTATTTCCACCATTCATTATTATTGCCACAATTGAAGATAAAATGTATTTTCTACTTGAAAAATTTCTCAATAGAATAAATTCACAATAAATATTAAAAAACATATTGACAATAAATATTACCTGTAGGGAGCTCATTTTCGACCGCGTCCTTGATGAAGAGGCGAACATGATTTTGCTCAAGGCTTTTCTACAAGATGAGCCTTGGGGTCCCTGTTGACTTCATGACATAGGCAGAGAACACGAAGCCAAGTTGGGGCTCGCACGCCTAACGAGGCCATGGTAGTCGTTGAAATGTCTACACACACGTAGGCAGGGATACGACTTCTCGCTGACAAGGTGGTAGACTTGACATTCACTCTGCACGCTGGCCTTCTTGTGCCACCGAAGTCGAATCGCAACGTACTGACTGTCTCCATCCTGCTTGAGTGCTACGTCGTCCCACATGAAATTCAGCATTTTGCTGAAGCGAAAACAGACCAGGTAGCTGGCGCAGAGGAGGAAGCGGTAGAGGGCTCCCAGAAAAACATGGGACGTCGAAAGTTGACCAATCACGACACCTCGTAAACGGAGAGTGGATGGGCTTTCTTCTAGTCGTCGATAATGTTTTATGTTGTTGTACTTGTGCAGCACGACTACATACTGCTTTGATTCAACGTCTCTGGCCGGATTGGGCTCCTTTTTGAGGTCTGCAAAGTACTCCACCAGTTCTGTTTTGGCCGAGTCCACAGTACGTGCAGTCCGTCCTTGACTTTAGAAGTGGTGAAAAAAGTCAGTGCATGCGCTTGGCCCAGCTGTGGAGGGGTCTATGGCTTGCACATTCTTGCAGAACTCAACAAACTGTTTTTGATATGTTTTGTAAGTTCGAAGCGTGGATTTAGAGCAGAATGAACCCTGGATGGTTGCTTTCGATGGAACTGTGGTTGCGCTCATGATGCTGAATGAAGATTCGTTCTCTGCATGATGAAACGTCGTCTTGTATTTTTAGACAAACTTTCCAAAATTGTCCAATCATAGGCTGTACATGTTCAATGTTTATTTTATGTTTTCAGGCGACAACTGGGTCGTCCAATCACAAACCGCAACCGAAGAATTTTGTCGTTCAACCAATCACTACTCACAGTTTGTCTAGAGTGCCAATCCAATCTCCTCAAAATTTGTTGGGTTTTAGTGCTATGTAGTGCTCGAATTTGTTCCGACAGCCATGTCCTCGTGCACAATGTATGTAGTGTTAATCACTTTGTAAGCATTCGCATGGCTACTAAATACTACACCGTAATTTCAGCGTTTTTTTCACTATATTTCTCTTTGGTTGCAGTATATTTCACTAGACCACCAATATAATTCAGCCATATTCATTTAATTGCATGGCGACCCCAAAATTCACGTATATTTTTCAACAACCCATCGATATATTTCATAGAACCATCGATTAATTTCAGTTTTCGTCAATACAATTCACCCAGCCGGCAATATATTTCATGCAATTTCAATGATTATCAATTCAGTGACTAACTGAAGCTCACGTGCCAACCTCCATGTCCTCCATGTTCTCCGCAAGTGCGTAAAATTGCTCGAGTCGCGCAGTGTAAACGTGCAAGCGATTTGGTTCAATTCCTAATGTAACATGCAGAATCAATGATAAGTAAATCAGTTTACGTACCTGCAATTGCTTCATCGGCGATGTGCTCCAAATACGTCATACGGAAGTCATCCCGTGTTTGACCCTCCGGCGGTGCACCCATGAATGCCGCAAGGCGTTCACGAAGCATACAGTAGTCTTGACGCGACTCTTCAACGACGACCATAAGTTCTCGATCGGGTTGAGCATAGGTGAATATGGACCAGAGGTGGTCAAAATTTTATTCGTACTTATTCTTTCACTTCTTGCGAGAGCATTATCAATTCTTTTTCAAATCAGCGAATTGATATTCATTCCACAGGTGACGCCGAATGAATAATTTATTCTGTAGCGACCGCATCCATGAATAACTTACTCGAATTATTCCCCATAGCAAATCAAATTCATTATTATATTTGCAGAAACATTGTCTACTCGAAGGAGCGCATATTTTCATGCACGTCTTCAACACCCCAAAGGTGCCAGCCAGTTAGCGCGCAAGAACATTTGCTCCTCGAAGTTCTTTGGGGTAATGCTACAACGACGGTCTCCGATAGCTAACTTGGTCACGGAAAAAAGCACTCACACATGTTAGACGTCGAGCGCACAAATCGACAGTCCATGTACCCACCGTCAACTCGACCAACGCGTTGCTTCTTCAACGCGCGGCCAAGACAAAGTGGGCTGAGCCACCGCGACTTGATTCGCTGTGCTACATGCCAATGGCTGGACGGCCACTACCTCGGTGGCCGACATTCCCTCTTCATTTCCACGGAGGATCTTCACGACACTAGACTCGAAACCATGACAATGGACAATGTCGCCCAACAGGCGCTCACTAGACTCGAAACCATGGTAATGGACAATGTCGCCCAACCGGCGCTCTGCATCCGTATAATCTTGGATAACCGTATCAAAAATTCGCCGTACGTCGAAAAGGGTACACGCTTTATTCTGGAGCGCCAAGGTCATGGAATTAAGATCGCCGAGCACAACCAGCAACTTCGTGATCTTCGACAGTACTCAATCCCAACATGTCGATACCTTTGTCACCCATCTGGCCAATGTACGTCTTGATAGCAGAGTAGCCAGTCAACATGCTGAACGCCGATGTCCAGCGCGTAGCGTTGAGCGTCTTGGCCTGGAGGGGTGTGAGACGACGTAGGCGTGCTACGGGAAGGATGTTGCGTAGCTTACGCATCAAGATGTTCACCTTTTGGATCACAACATCATGGTTGGACAGAAGGTCGGACACGAAGAGGTTGAATGGATGGCTAGCAAAACCCACTTATCGAACACCCGCCAAACGCGCAAACGCAACATTCGTCGAGCTGTTGTCCGTCCCCGATAAGTGCGACGACGTTTTTTTACGACTTTCCGTACTACTCCAACACAAAGATCGTAAACTCTAAGTGCGCAGCCGCACTTATAGAATCTTCGTCGTTGATCGCTTTACACCTCAGCGACAGGCCCACGCATTGCTACCAGGGGCAGTACGGGTGAAGAACAGCTCGGCGAACTGGCGACCATAGAGGATATTGGTGTTGGCTGGGTTCATCACAAATAAGAATGAACACAGCTACGACTTGTGTTTGAATTGAGTGATGCACAGCCTTGCTATTGAATGGTTTTGGTTTTTAAGGGCATCGTGAATTATTCCTCTCGTTTCCAATATTTATTCGTTTTGGGGGTAATGAAAATTATCTATTCTTTCCATCAAAGAAAATGAATTATTTATTCATTGTCCCACAGAAAATAGATTATATACTTATGCCAGCTAATTAAATTTATTCGTTTAGAAAATTATTTATGATCACCTCTGATACGGACGGATAGTCCGCGAGGGCATCGAGGGAACTTGTGCTCCCTCTTCAAAACTTATAACTAGATTACAGAGGCCACAATAAAATAAATTGCTGAGGCTATTGCGAACCTTGCGATATCTAATGAGTATAACATTTTACGAGTAATCAATCGATCGAGAGAAAATACTAATCATCCA